AAAAAAAAAAATCAACAAAACAACAGGATGGCCTTCTTGAGCCCTCCACTGAAACCAATCATCTGTCCATCCATCCCATTTCTTCCCCAAAGCTAACAACTGTAATCAATTTTTGAGACTTTTCTATATAGATGAATCATTCATTTCACAAATACTGTGTATGCTGGAATATTAAAAAAAGTGTTTTTTTCATTTGCTGGAGAGCATGTGTGCTTGTCAGAGAGAAGAGAGATGCACAGAAAGAACCCCCTTCCGCCCTTATTGAGCACGATTACACTGTAATCATGTCTCCTCCATTTCTCCGTCCCATCAGGTTTTGGGACACATCTGCTGGTGTGTTTTTCAAACTACTGGACCTAGGACTCGAATCGTGGGGTCAGTCATGTGGTATCTGGCCCCTTTAACAACCAAGCCACAAGGTTAGCCCTAAAACAAGTTTTATTTTCTCCTCCACAATTATTCCTCAAGAGAAATCTCTTACACTTGAGGTCTTATGAAAATCCCTCAATGCCCTGCTCTCTCCTTTATTTTGAACAGCAACCGCTTAACTGAACAACCTCAATCAATGCCAGTTGGGAGGCTTGTAGAGGTCATAGGACAGAATCAGAAAACAAGGCGGGGGTGGGGGAGGAGGGTGCCCAACACTGTTTTAGTAATTTTCCTGAGGATATGGCCTCACAAATATCACTTAAAAATAACACAGTAAGTGGTTATGTTGCAGAGATCATGAATATTTATTTTTAGATGAATGAATAAGGCAAACAGCATGATGTTACAGGAATGGTTCGTAGGTCTTGGAATACATTTCCAGAAACAGTGTCATAAACAGATGCGAAAAGTGCTGTTTCTGAAACAACTCAGATGGGTGGAAAGATGTGCTTTGGAAACTGTGTTAGGTGATTCAGAAAGTGGCACTAGTCACGAGGACAACACAGGTGTCAAAGGCTCAAGCTGTCATGAAAGGAAATGGAATGAAACAGCATTTCCAAATGAATACATACCATAATGGGCCTCTAAATGTGTATATAGCTACATCAACACATTAAACATAATAAAAGTATATTATTGTAGTATATTTCATCCAGGACCTTAAAGATAACTTATATGCACAAATTGGTCAAAAATAGTTTATTGAGGGTGTGAAGTTCATAAGAGAAAAAAAACAGCCTGTTAGTCAGGCACATACCTATTTTCCTTCCTTCTTTTTAAAGTTTCTTTCTTCTAAGAGAGAGAGAGAGACAGGGACAGGTACCCTTGACATGGTCTTGCCATGCGGTGTCCCCTCTCCCGGCCTTGCAGCCAGCCAGGACTGAGGGTGTACCCAGTGATTTTAGATAAACCTGGGATCTAAACCTAGAGCTTTCCACATGACTCCAGCATGGCATAGCAGGGCTCTACCTCCTGTGCCACCATAGCTGGGGCCATTTGGAGATTTTTACATGTATACATTATGCCAGGAGCTGCTGAATAAATAAAAAGATGAGGTAATAAGGGTCATGATAAAAATAAAGCAAGGTAAGGGCCAGCAGGTGGCATGGTGGTTAAGGCATTGGATCCCACCAACTCCGTGGTTTGAGTCTTGAACCTGACAGCTTGAAAAACATGCTAGGGGCTAGCAGGTAGGGTGGTAGTTAGGGTGCTGGACTCCCACATGGCCAACTGCAGTTTGAGTCCCATACCTGGTGTCTTGCTTGCTCACTTTTCCTTTCTCTCTCTCTCTGGTCAAATTAAAAAATAATGATAAAAAATAAAGTTAAATAAATAATTCTAAAAATAAAAGAAAGAAAACAAAACCAAACACAAGCCGGGTGCTGTGTGTGTGTGTGTGTGTGTGTGTCTGTGTGTGTGTGCCCAAAATCCTGAGAGGAAAATGAAGGAGAAGGGACTATGGCATGGCCATCCCCCTCCAGGGGGTGATTTCTCACTTTTCCTCTCTCCAGGAAACACATATGTCCTATGGCAAAAAATCTAAAAAATAAATAAATAAATAAATAAATAAAAAATAAAACAAACCAGAAACAAAAATAAAGCATGGTAGTGGTCTAGAGACTTAGAGATGGATAATCAGGAAGGTTGAAGAGGTAAAGTTTAAACTAAGAGTTGAATGACAATGAGGCTAGCCAGCAGAGAAATAGTGAATTCAAAGGCCCTAGACCAGAAATGGCGTAGCAGGTTAAAGGTATAGGAGTTTGAACAATAGTGAGGGAGGGGAAGAAATGTATAAGCATAAATATATTTTGTGTTGGAGCTGGTTGATGGGTACCAGAAGTTCGTTGTTCTTTCTCCCTTTGTGTTTCCATTAAAAAAACAAAAACCAAACCAAAACAAAACAAAAGAAACCTATACTTGTTTTACTTTTCATAATTGTGCACACATTATTGGTCCTTGTCTATTTCACTTAGGTTTACATCTTGGAGAGTCGACTGCTGCATAGTCTTCCAAAGGAAGAACATGCCTCAGTTTACCTAGACATTCTCTCATTGATGTGCTAAAGAATTGCCAATTGTTCAATATTGTACATGATTCGCTGGGAATAGGGGCAGCATTAGCTACAGTAGATTCTTTTTTTCTTTTCTTTTTTGTTATTATTTATTTAAATTTATTTATTTACATTCATTTACTATACATCATGATAGCATACAAAATGAGATTTTCCAGAATACACTGTATTCAAGCACATCAGCATATGTGTTATCGTCAACAAATAATTTTCCATTTCTTGTTTCCTGTATATATATATTTTTCCATCCTTGATTTCCTATCTCTCACTGTCTGCCATCTCCCGCCCTCCTCCCACATTGTCTCTGTTATCCATGGTTGCTTTCTATGCCTTTTTTACCCCACATTTTACTGATTCACTAAAGATCTTAATTAATTTAAACATTTTGAATAGCTAGCACAGCTTATATATACATATCCATGGATACAAGTCTGACTTTAGGCATAAACCTCAGTGAGTAGAATGAACATACTATAAAGTTGCACCTAGCTGGGGCTATAAAGCTTACTGCAGTCATCAAATAGGTATTTTTAATGCATTTTTTTTTTATTTCAAAAAAAACAGTTTTTGTTTTTTTCCAAAACATCTTTTAACTTAATCAATTTACATTCATTCCCTAAGCATCGTTACAGCATACAAAATGTGATTTCCTGTCCACAATATACTGCATAGTGGCTTAATCATGTATATTATTGTCAATTAATTTTCCATTTCTGGTTTCTTATTTATTTATTTTATTTATTTATTTATTACCCCTATTTCCGACCCTCTGCCCTTTCCCACCCTCTTCTCACACTATCTCTGGTGTCTATAGTTGTCTTCCATTCCTTCCCCCCCATTTTATTGATCACACAATTTCTTAAATAATCTAACTACTTTCAATAGCAAATTCAGCTGGTAATTTCAAGAAAAGCAGTATTTACTTTAATAAATCAAAGAAATGCTAAGGAACTTTGCTTAAAACTTAAAGTCAGGAAACAGGTTAGGAGTCTGTTCAAATACTAGGTACATGAACCTATCGACAGCTCAAGACAGGATAAACATCTTTAAAACTGGGTAATAAAGCCTAGAAGAAAATCAGCAATATTTCAGTCAAAAGTCACAAAATGCTATCTTACCAGTTCAGTCTCATGTACTTTATTGATCTTCTGTTGTGGTTCGATCTTCCCAATTGAATTCTGGGATATAATATTCAACTCTGGACTTGTCCCTATGATTAAGTTGGTCATTTTCTTAGTTTTTGAATTCTTATTTCTGCATATCAGACTTTAATTTTCCTGATACAGCACTCCCTTTAGAACTTCTTGGAGATCTGGTCTGGTGCTGGTAAATTCTTTCAGGTTTTGTTTATCTGAGAATGTTCTTATCTTTTCTTCCCATGTGAAGGATAATCTTGCTGGATACAGTATTCTTGGTTGCAATTGCTTTCCTCTTAACACTTTGAATATATTTTCCCATTCTTTCCTCGCTTGTATTGTTTCCAATGAGAGGTCTGATGTTAGCCTGATGGAATAGCCTTTGTAGGTAATATGACGTTTTTTCTCTCACCAATCTTAGTATCTTGTCTTTGTCTGTAGTTTTGGTCAATCTGGCTATAATGTGTCTTGGTTAAGATCTTCTTGGACTGATTCTATTTGGGGTCCTTTGTATTTCTTGGGGCTGGATCTTTGAGTGCCTCTCTAGGTTTGGAAAGTTTTCTTGCAGAATTTCATGGAATAAATGATCAATGCCCTTATGAGTCTCTTTGCCTTCTGGGATGCTGATTATACAGACGTTTAGATGTTTGATGGTATCCAGTATTTCTCGTATATTATTTTAATTTGTTCAGACAATTTTCTCAGCCTTTGTGGTGGATTTTTCTAGGCCAGCAATTTTCTCTTCTATGCCTGAGATTCTATTTTCTGTATGATCTAGTCTGCTTTTAATACTTTCAAGGGAGATTTTGACTTCCTGTATTATAGCCTTCATCTCTAACAGGTTCATTTGATTCTTTTTTCAAGTGTGTAATTCCTCTTTTACATCTTGCAAGAATTTCCTCATCCCCTGAACTCATCATTTCCTTTCTCCTTCCTCTTCTGCAGTTGTCTCTGTTCTCTTCTATCTCTGTTAGCTTTGCCATTATGAATATTCTAAATTCTTTATCAGACATTTCCATGATTTTCATTGAACTGTCTGTGGATGAAGAGGAGCTATTCTTTTCCCTTGGAGGAGAGGTATTTTCTTGCTTTCCCATATTTCTTGTGGCCCTGCGGTGATTTCTAGTCATATGATGGATGGTGTGTTTCTTCCTAAACTTGAAGTTCAATCTGAGCGTTCGGGATGTGCAGGAAGAGGTGATCTGGAATCTCCTTGCCATTCCACTTTGATCCCTTTGTGCAGCAGATTCAGTAGATATTAAAGAATATGTTAGCCTGAAGAATTTGGATGTTTGGCTATAGTTCCCTTAGATCTGTCTAGAAATGGATGGAGATTGAAGAGCAGAGAGATGGGATAAAAGAAAAAGGAAAGGAAATGGAGAGAGAAAAACAACAACAACAACAACCAAGAAACAGAGAAAAAAAGAAGGAAAAAATTTATAAAAGTAAAAAAATTACTATTTTTTTTTTTTAAAAGCAAAAAATAGAAAACCGCATGGTGTAACCTGCCCCTTGCCTCTCCTGGGTGGGAGGGGGAGAGGGGGTTAATAACAAGATAAAGGCAAAAAAGGGCTGAAAGCTGAGAAAATACTTTACCTTAAAAAGTTTTTAAAGGGACCAGCAGGTGGCGTGGTGGTTAAGGCGCTGGACACTCCCACATGGCCAATCATGATTCAAATCCCAGACCCGGTGGCTTGCTTTCTCACTCCCCCCTCCCCCCTCTCTGTGTGTGTCTCTCTCTCTAGTCGAATTAAAATAAATGAATGGATAAATAAAATTAAATAAAATAATTCTTTAAAAAAAGTTTTTAAAAATGAAATATTACAAAAAAAGAGAAGACAGAGACAGAGAGACAGAGATAGAGACAGAAACAGAGATAGAAGGCTTGAGGGGTTTCCTACCACTCAAGTTTGTGGGCTGGAGGCTGAATTATCAGTAGAAAATCTTCATTTCTCTTTTCTCCTTGAAATCACTAGTTCTCAGGAGCCATGAAGGTGTCTTCTTCTCAGCTACAGTAGATTCTGAGAAATGTACTGTTGTACTAAAAATCATGCACATTTTATTTATTTATTTTTCTTTTTTGTTTGCTTGCTTGTTTTTAAGAGATAGGGTCTCACTATGTTGTCTAGGCTGGCCTTGAACTCACATTCCTCCTGCATCTGCTTTTGCATTAGCTGAGATTACAGGCACATGTCACTATGCCAGGCTCACATTTTTAATTTTAATAATTTGATCTCCAAAGAAATCTGCTGATTTTTAGTCACAACAGAAGCTCAGCATCTTTTCAATTTCCTTCCTTCCTTTCCTTTCTTTCCTTTCTTCCTTTCTTTTCCTTTCCTTTCCTTCTTTCTCTCTCTCTCTCTTTTTCTTTCTTTTCTTTCTTCTTTCTTTTTTTCCCTAAAGGGCGCATGTACTTGACGCAGAGACAGAGAGAGACACAGAGACAGAAACCAAGAAATCGACCCCAGGGGAGATGGCCACACTGCAATCCCTTCTCCTCATTCTCCTCTTGGGATCTTGGGCATGCAGGCACAAACACCACACCAGAGTTTTTAAGCCATTGGGACTGGAACGCAAACCAGGGTCGACTATGTGGGAGTCTAGCAATGTAACCATTACACCATTTGCTGGTCCCTCAATTTTATTTCTTGTATGTGGTCTTTGCCTGATTTTCTATTAAACTGTTTAATTTTTCAAACTGATTTTACACTTTCTTTGTATATTCTACTTATTTTCCTTGAAATTTATTTTGCAAATAATTTCCCTAGACTTTAACTTTGCTGTAATTTTTTAAAGGCTTCTTTATCTTTGTACTGTGCTTAAGACCTTCCCTATCTCAAGATTTAAAACATTTCTTTTCATATGTTCATCTACTACACTGATTCTCAAGGTGTGGTCCCTGGAACACCACTACAACAAAACGCGAATTCTTCAGCTCTGCTGAAGCACAACTCTGGGGTGGGTCCGAGCAATGTGTTTTAACAAGACTTTCAGGTGATTTGATACACACTGAAATTGGAAAATATTTACCTACTACTTCTATAGTTCTTTTTTACACGTTTAGCTTCAATCCATCTGAGTTTTTGTATTGTGTACAGGGTAAAATTCATATATGGACTTAATTCTCACTACCACCACCACAAGCAGATTAACAGCCAGTGTTCCAAGTATAATAAATAGCCCAGTTTTCCCCCTGGTTCTCTAGTCCCACAGACACATTCATCAGGCCCAACCTGGGGGAAATGGAAGAACCACTAAACCTGAGCTCTGCTTCCAGCGACGTCACTACTACCCCGGGCCTTCGGGCCTTAAGGGGCTCGCCACCACCACCACCTTTGAGTTGTGATCAGGCTCAGGGCCTGGAGCGCGGGGTCACGGTCAGGCCAGCGGCGCCCGCCGGGACGGGCGCAGTGGGACCCAGTTCTCGCCTCCTGGCGCAGACCGTGGCGTAGATCCTGGGAGCGCCCTAGCCCAGGCCCCGCTCGCCACTCCCGCCGTCACGCCAGGCAGGCCTCACCTCGCAGGGCCCCACGAAGAGGATCTTGGCCTTCAGCATCGCGGTCCGCCGCGGGGTAGGCCGCCAGAGACCACTCCGACGCTGCGCTAGCCCGCGCGTCGTCAGGGCCGCCACAGGCCGGCAC